AACTCGGGGGCCACTTACACCCGGATGGTGGCCCGGGTCTTTCAAGACGTCCTAGGGCGCACCATGGAGGCCTATGTTGACGACATGATCGTCAAGAGCAAACAATCTTCCAGCCATGCTAACGACCTACGGGAGATCTTCGCCATCATGCAAAAATTCAACCTTCGGCTAAACCCGAAGAAGTGCACCTTCGGCGTCCAAGGGGGCAAGTTCTTGGGCTACATGGTGAGCCGAAGGGGTATTGAGGCCAATCCCGAGAAAATCCAGGCCATCATCAACATGGAGCCCCCACGCAATGTGAAGGAAGTTCAACGGTTGACGGGCCGCCTGGCGGCCCTCAACCACTTTCTATCTAAATCAGCGGAGAAGTCTCTACCCTTCTTCCAGATCATGAGGAAGACGGCTGGCTTTCTATGGACTCCGGAATGCCAGGGGGCTTTCGACGAACTCAAGCGGTATCTATCTTCACCCCCCGTGCTCTCAAAACCAAAGGTAGGGGAAACCCTCTATCTCTCCCTTGGGGTCAGCCCGGCGGCCATCAGCTCTGTGCTCATCCGGGAGGAAGACGGCATCCAACATGCCATCTTCTACGTCAGCAAGACCCTAAGGGAGGCCGAGCTCAGGTACTCCCCTATGGAAAAAACGGTGTTGGCCATCGTTTGGACTGTCAAGAAGTTGGGCCACTACTTTCAGGCTCACCCGGTTCAGGTCCTCACTCATCAACCCCTCGGCGCCCTCATGAGGAGCCCCACCAGCTCCTCCCGCATGGTTAAATGGGCTATCTTCTTGAGCCAGTTCAACATTGACATCCGTCCAAGGCCTGCCATCAAGGGCCAAGCCCTGGCGGACTTTGTGACGGAATGTACCGCAAGGGCAGCCACGGACGGGGAGCCCTCGGCTACCTCGGACGACTGGTGGACCCTCTACACTGACGGCTCCTCCGCGACCAAAGCATGCGGGGGAGGGGTAGTCCTCATTACTCCCGAGGGCTTCAGGGCCTACTATGCAATCCGCTTCTCCTTCAAAGTCTCCAACAATGAGGCCGAATATGAGGCCCTCCTATGTGGCCTTCGGCTTGCTGCCAACATGAGGGCTCAACAGATCCACATCAAATGCGACTCCAAGTTGGTCGTTGGCCAAATCTCCGAAGAATATGAGGCCAAGGAGGGGAGAATGAAACAGTACAAGGAAGCGGCCAAGGAGTTGCTTAAGGTATTTGAGGCACACTCTCTCACTCAAATACCGAGGGCTCAGAACTCCGAGGCCGACATACTATCTAAGCTCTCGGCCGACTCCCCCGAGCACATCTCCAAAATTGCCAAAATCGAGGAACTCAGCCTCTCAAGCATCCATGCAAGCCCCGTTATGAACATACAACAACGTCAGGAGGATTGGATCTCAGATATCACCGCCTTCATCTCCACGGGGCAGCTACCCGAGAATGAGGCCCGCGCTAAACTGGCAAAGCTGAGGGCTCCCAGCTACACCATCGAAGATGGAAGGCTCTACAAACGATCTTACAATGGCACGCTACTTCGGTGCCTTCATCCAGATGAAGCCGAGGTCGCAATGGAGGAAGTGCACAGTGGCACTTGCTCAGCTCACCAGGGACCCTTCTCCATGTCCCGAAGGCTCATTCTCCAGGGCTACTTCTGGCCAACCATGGCCAGGGATAGTGCTGACCTTGCCCGGAGGTGCACCGCATGTCAACATTTCCAGAAAGCTCCCGGCAGGCCAGCGGTCAACTATGCCCCCATCAGCACCTCTGTCCCATTTTCTCGATGGGGGATAGACCTTGTGGGCCCTCTGCCGAGGGGTACCTCCAACAACAGATACATCATTGTGGCCGTCGACTATTTTACCAAGTGGGTGGAGGCTGAACCCCTCGCCAGCATCACAGAGGCGAAGTGCCGTCACTTCGTCCTCAAGAACATCCTCACAAGGTTTGGCGTCCCCCAGCAGATCATCTCCGACAATGGGACACAATTTGAGGCAGCCCCCTTCTGTGCCCTTCTGGAGGCATGGGGCATCAAACACACCTTCTCCTCCGTTGCCTACCCTCAAGGCAACGGGCAAGTAGAGAACGCCAACCGGACCTTGCTCGAGGGCCTCAAAAAGAAGCTGGAGGCCGAGGGTGGTGGCTGGGTGGAAGAACTCCACAACATCCTGTGGGCCTATCGCACCACCCCTCGGCGAGCAACAGGTGAAACACCCTTCTCCCTCTGCTACGGTTTTGAAGCCAAAGCTCCTACGGAAGTCACCCTTCCCACCCGAAGGGTGATCCAATATGACCCCGAGGTCAACGACAGCAACATGGCCCTCGACCTCCACCTCATTTCAGAACGCCGGGAGCAGGCCTTCATCCGGGCAGAAAACTACCGAAGGCAAGTTAAAAGCTACATCGACGCCAAAGTTCGCACCCGAGAATTTCAAGTGGGGGACTATGTCCTCCGGAGGAGGGAAGCCAGCCAACCAACCGAGGGAGGAAAAATGGCACCAAAATTCGAAGGCCCCTACATCATAGCAGCCATTATCAAACCCGGGACCTACAAGCTCAAACGCCCCAATGGGAAAGAAGTCCCTAGGCACTGGAATGTACACCATTTAGTTAAATTTTATCAATAATGTAAGAGCGGCCAAGCCCTCATAACTAGTGAATGTACTATCCTATGGCCCAAGGCCTCCAATTTCGAAGAATGAAGATACATTCAAGACATCAAGCCCTCATACTGACTACAGGCCCCAGGCCTCACCACGAGAAGAACCCCCTCCGAGGGCGGACACCATCAACACCTACAACAAACAGTGAAAACACCACGTGTTTTCAGTCAAGACCCCTCGGTACCAAGTACCGAGGGAGGGAACTCCTATCACCAACAACAAGGAACGTCATGTGTTTCATTTCCCTTCGGCACCCAGTGCCGAGGGTACATTCCCACCTTCATCATCAAAAAAGAAAAGATGAGAACACCAAGTGTTCCTACAGAAGACCCTTCGGCACCCAGTGCCGAGGGTACATTCCCACCTTCAACATCAAAAAAAAAAGATGAGAACACCAAGTGTTCCTACAGAAGACCCTTCGGCACCCATTGCCGAGGGTACACCTCCATTATCAAACATCGAAACGAAGAAAAAAAAACACCAAAATGTTTCAAAGAAGACCCCTCGGCACCCAGTGCCAGGGATATACTCTCCTATCAACTTCCAAACATCTGTTGGGAAACACCAAGTGTTTCATTTGAAGACCCTTCGGTACCAAGTACCGAGGGTAGACGCCTACATCAACTACGACAAAAGAGAACACCAAGTGTTCCTACAGAAGACCCCTCGGTACCAAGTACCGGGGGCTACACATCGAAACTAACACCAAGTGTTGTTTCTAAAAGCCGTACCCCACGAGGACGCATATACCGAAGGCGCCACCATCGGTGCCGGCGGCACGTAGTGCCCCCGGCCATTTGCAACTAGTGTGCAAATGAAAACCCTTCCTTGAAACGCTTTCCGCGTCATTACCCCCAGGGTATGACAGGCATGAGAAATGCCCAGGATTCGACTTTCAAAAATGGAACGCTATCCGCGTCATCACCCCAAGGGTGTGACAGGCACGAGAAATGCCCAGGATTCGACTTCCAAACCGAAACGCTCCCCGCGCCACCACCCCAAGGGTGTGGCAGGCCACGGACTATGTCTGGCGCCGAGGGGACGACTTTCAAAAATGAGGCGCTTTCCTCGCCATCCCCCAAGGGGAGGCAGGTTACGGACCACCATATCTTGTGCCCAGGAAACGACCCTCGATCCCCTCGGAACTCGGAAGGTTAACCCGAGGGAGGAGAGCCATTGGTGTATTCTGATGGTCTCCTAATAGGCCCAGCCTTACCAAGAAACCAAGTTTCTTGATGCCTTCCCTTCACCACCAACCAAGAAAAAAAAAAGAGGGGGTGAAGTGGAGTAGACTCAGCGAGAAATCAAAGAGTACACTCCAACAGATCACAACAAGCCGAGGGCTCCCCACAGGAACACCTCCGGTAACTGAAGGCTCCTATTTCCCGAAGGATACTACTCGAACAAATAGCAGCAAGGAACGGCTAAGTCCACTGCCTGGTCACCTCCGGTCACACAAACACCGAAGGCTTCAACAATACAAAGGGACTGGACTATCCAAAGTACACTAAGACGGTACCTTCAAATATGTACCGAAGGCCCCTACCCCATTACAAGGGACACAACTGGCTGAGTCAAACTCTACAACTCTTCAGAGTGTATGCCGAGGGCACACACTCCTCATTGGCTTTCTTCACAACAACAGGATTCAACATCAATTTACGCAAAGTAATGTAGAGTCAGAGGGCACCTATCACCCGAAGGCTACACAAGGAAGCAGCACTTGAAAAAATTCTAAGTCCTAAAGATTGGGCCCCCGGCCCAATCAGCATTACAGCCAAGGGAATATGGTAGCCGAAGGTCATGCAATACAACAACACTTGAAAAAATATATTCTGTCCTAAATGAGCAGCCCCCGGGCATCTAGCAAAGTGATGTGGAGTCAGAGGGCACCTATCACCCGAAGGCTCCCAAGGGAAAATCTACATTTAGAATATTTTCTAAGTCCTGCATATTTTCCCCCCCGGTCAGCTACTCATACATCATGGAGGGATGCCATCTCCCGAAGGCTCCCAAGGGAAACTCTACACTTAGAATATTTTCTAAGTCCTACATGTTTTTCCTCGGTCCAACAATCACACATCAGGAAGGGATGCCATATCCCGAAGGCTCTCAAGGGGAAATCTACACTTAGAAATTTTTCTAAGTCCTAGGATTTGGGTTACTACAGACGCCCGAAGGCCTCATGCTGTGCTACATTTAGGAAAAATTTCTGAGTCCTAATTGCTGCTGAACCCTCGGTTGCATATCCAGCAGAGGGTGCCCAACTACCGAGGGCTTCCAGGGGCAAGCTACAATCAGAAAATACTCTAAGTCCTAAAACATACACTCAAGGAAAACGGAGGCATACATTCAAGAAGAAAGGAATTGGAGAAAACGAGTCATATAAACACAGCCCGAAGGCAATCATTCAATCATCAACAAACAGAGGGCAAATGTAATACGAATAAATGTTACAAGCAGGCCGAAGCCGAAGGATGAATAATGTCACCATTACAAATACGTGTTTACATAATACAAAATACATATCAAATAATGTCATTCCCGGGGGCCGCCTCCCCCGATGGCTTCGAGGTGACTTCTGCGTCGGCCTCAGGTTCGTCGCCCTCGGCTTCCTTCATGAGCTCAGAGTCCTCCAGGTCTGGCCTCTCGACATCGGGGGGAAGAGGAACGCGGATGTCTGGCTGCAGGGGGGAGCCCGTATGCTGCCGGGTCAAAGTCCTTTGGCTCGATCTTTAAGTGGCGAGCCATCCTCCGGTAGATGAGGGCTTGAGTAAAAACTCGCCCCCATCATAGTATTGTTTACCCTTTCGGGAAACCCATTCCACGCCAGGCCCATCACACCACTCGTCGACCGAGGACTCGACGACCGAGGACAGCCATTGCTTGTGCTCCTCGGACCGCCACCCCCCCTGCCAAGAACCCCGAGATTGCGTCCCCTCGGGCTCTCTCGACGGCTTCCACCTTCGCGGCCTCGGCTTCCTTGACAGCTCTCTCCAAGGCCTCAGCTGCGGACCTCTCGGCTTCTGCCCTACCCCGATCTGCGGCCTCCGCCCGCAGGGTCATCTGCCGAAGGCTCTCCTCCAGCATAGCCATCTGTCGAACAGCGTCTGCATTCTGGCGGATGAGCTCCCGCATCTTGGCCTCCTGCTTGGCCTTGCGAAGGCGCCACTCATCTAGCCGCCGGGCTTGCTCCCCGAGGGCAATGCAGGTCTACAAAAACAAAGGGGTTAGCGAGGCCAAACATGGTTTCTTAGCTCGAAGTAGAAAAGAAAGAAATAAACATAAAAGGCTTACTGTGAGGGAAGACCGGAGGATCCTGTCCTCGAGGGCTTCGTCTTCATCAGCCCCGAGGGCTACTCTGTCAATCTCGAGGGTGATGCCTCTCAGAAGCGCCCTCGGGTCGGCCGTACCGTTCATCACGGCCGTACCAGCCGGGAGGGAAACCATGAGGACCTCGGAAGATGGCCCCTGAACTCCCGGCGGCACTTTCGCCACCTGCATGTCCTCATTCGCCCCGGAGACAGGGCCTTCATCAACAATGATCACCGGGGGGACTTTCTTCCCAGCATCCCCGGTCTTGGGCTTCTTGCCCTCGGGATCTCTGCCCGAGCCCTTCCTTTTGGCGGCAGCGGCAGCATCAGCACTTGGGCCCACCGACGGCCCCTCCGGTTTTTTGAAGAAGTCACCGGCGGGTTTTGGGACACCGGCGTCCGTCCCCCTCGGGCACTTGGAGGGTTTTTTCTTCTTCAGGTCTGCAAGGCCTCTGACGTTCATCATTTTCACTGGGACACCTGCAAAAAAAGGTATGGGGTCAAAATCGAGGGGTTACTGAACGAAGGCACACAAAAAAAAAACACGAACAAAATAAGCTATGTGCTAAGATATGAAAACCGAGGGACCTCGTAGACTACCTCTTGTTCCCCCGAAGGCCTCAGCAAAAATGGGGTACTTCTCGTCCGATTCCCCAATAAATCGGTATCTCCGAAAGCCGAGGGCGTAGAATCCCTTGTCGGCAGTATGGTCTTTGATGGAGACCTGCTTTGTGCGACCCTCCGGGATTTTGGCTATCACCAGGCCATCTTTTTCGAGGGCGGCGCTTCCAACCTTCGGATGCCGACGGAAGCGATCCCGAAGTTCCGCCGGAAATGGGTTCTCAGCAACCCTGACATAGCACCAGCGCTCCTTCCAGCCCTTATTGGACGAAGGCGCCTCCGTAAACAGCTTCCACCTGGCCACCTGCTGCAGGTTGGCGAAGCCCTCGGCATTCGCGTGACCCCCTCGACAGAGGTTGAAGCTCTGGAAGAACAAGTCCAGGCTGGGGGTCACCCCTCGGTCCCTACAGAGGTTTAAAAAACCCGCCACGTAGGAGTGGCTATTAGGTGTCAGCTGGCAGGGTACCAAGCCAACAAACCTCAGGTACTCCCGGAGGAAGGGGTGCAGAGGGAACCGAAGGCCCATGGAGACCGACAGTACGTGTACTGCAATGCACCCCTCAGGCGCCCGAGAGAGCACGTCGTCAACTCCCGGCTCGACCACCACGGCCGAGGGCCCTACATGTAGCTGCGTCACGTAGAGGTCCGCCCTGTCCGCCTTCGACTTTATCTCCAAGGCAGCCGTGTTGAGCCAGGAATACCCCTCCGGCATATCTACGGGTTTCCCCTGATCAGCAGCAATAACCTTCTTCTTGGGGGCAGCTGCCTTGGCCTTCTTCTTCTCGGGGGCCACCCGGATGGGAACTGCATTCAGCGGCTGGGAAGTACTGGCCTCACCAGCACCCCGAGGGGGAAGGACTGCCACAGTGACCTTCGCCCTCTCCTTTTCCTCCTCCTCTTCAGCAACTTGGACGGCGAGGGCCAACTCTTCATCCTCGGCAGTTCGCTCGAATTCCTCCGCCTCGGCCTCGGCCATCAGATCCTTCTGCACCTCAGTGACGAGGGCTGCATCACCACCATCCGAGGGCTGACCACTGCTGGACTCCACGTCGGAGATGCCTTCGTCCTCCATCGAGGGCGTCCTCGAGATGTCCTGGGAATCGCTCTCGGACGACATTTTTATCACGAAGTGTGTCTAAGGTTTCGAAGGCTTTCTACAGAACTAACCCTAATCTAAGGCCAGAGGGCGGAACTTACTAAAAGTTTGGAGAGGAACACGGGCACTGACCTTGAAAGCAGAGTTTTGACCGAAGGCTGGAGTTTCTCTTTCTAGAATTTTCGGCAGAGCTTCGCTAAAACAAATGATCGCACAAGAAGGAATGGCCCTAGCCCTGGGGTATTTATAGGCGCTGGAATCCGGGCTTGGGCCCGGAAACCGGGCCTCCGGACGGACCGTCATCATTACACACCGTCGTTTCACCCAACCGGTGACGCCGCCCACGAACAGCCAGCCATCACACGCCACGTGTGCCACCCCCCCAACGGCTATATCCTGTCGTTACATATTCCAACGGCTATATTTCCAACGGCTATATTCCGGAAGCCCCCGGGTTTTCTACTTCACTCCACTTCATCAAGGGTAGCCTCCGGGTACACTCACTCAGAAGTGCCCCCGGGTTGTGCCCCAAACAGCACATAACAGACGCCTTCGGAATCACTCCTTCAGAAACCCAGGGCTTCATATAAGGGCACCCCTCGGGGATTCCCCCTCAGCACTGCAAAACCGGGTAGCCCCGGGGAGTTGCCTCATTGACGGATGACCCATGGCACACAGGTAATGGGAGCCCTCGGGTATCTTCATCACCAACTAATCAACAAACAGTGGACCCCCCGGTAACAACTTCACTGCTGCCCTCATCTGGCAGGCCCTCGATCCCTGGATTGAGGGGCTCCCCTTCGGCGCCACCAGGACATCAACAGCAAGCCTTCGGCTAATCAACACAGGAGCCCTCAGAAGAGAGAGCCTTCGGCATTCCCGTCATTTTCCATTTTTTACCAAGGTTTGACATTTTCGATTCATCATTGGGGGAATTCGGTGCACTCTTTTTCCCTCATTAGGATTTTTTCCCAAAGGGTTTTTCCTAATGAGGTTTTTAACGAGGCATCCCCCCAAAATGGAACGAAAAGCGTCAGCCTTCGGCCCACAACAGCAACGTAACTACTTTACTCCTTTTCACCACTTTACAAGTGCCTCAAGGAGTGGGGGACTGGAGGACCCCCTCGGGAAAATCATTAAATTGGTGAAATTCCGACAAACGACAAGGCAAGCCCTCAAGTCCCGACATGTGGGTAACTGAGGGACTGCCTTCGGCAGGGACATAAAAGCAACAACTCCTCACCAACTTCAGAGATCACGACGGGACAACATCAAAGGGCAAGCACAAATTACTCCTTTTCCCTCAAGTACCTTTCGGCAAAAGGAGTGAGGGACTCCTGATGGAGTATATGGCCCGGGAACCCCCGGCCCACAGACTCCTACTACTCCAGCGAAGGCCCAACAGGCCCAAAAGGCCCAACAGGCCCAAATCACAGCGCCCAGAGTACCAAGCAGCCCGCACTACGCGCCAGGGGTGCCTTCGGCCCCTGGCTGAAGGCTCTAAACTCTCACAGAACGGGTTTCTCAAGCAAACTAAGAAATTGGGAGAAAACGGCGAAAACAGTAGCCCTCGGCACTGTGAGCCCTCGGCACCAAGGTGCCATCGGCTGGAGGAGCCCTCAGCTACTGCTCTATAGCCGAAGGCATCTCACTCGACAAGAAATCCGCCTCACATGCGTACAGACGTCCCATCCAACAGCCGCATTAAATGCGGCCACGTGCGGTTGCCAGCGCCAACCAGTTGAGGTGACCCCTCGGCCAATGAGCACTTGACACGTGTCCCTGTCCGGCATTTATTGCTACTATAAATAGCACCCCATTTCCCCATTTGTAACCACGCTGAAAACGGCATTCATATTGAATACACTCTCTCTCTACTTTTACTTACTTGCTCTGACTTCTCTCTAAGTTATTCCCCGTAATAACCCTTCGGATATATACCCCCGGGTAGACTATCCATCAAGGACGTTTGTTCTAATTATACCATTTCTTCCCAGTACATATTAATATATATATATATATATATATATATATACACTAGTAATTTTTTTTAGGTGGGGCCTAGGCCCTATGCCAGATCCGCCCCTGCTTGGATGTGGGCAAAAATTGAAATCCTCCCATCGAAAGAACTGGTGTGTGCGAACGGAAATGGTGTGTGCGGATGAGAATGGTGTGTGCGAACGGGAAGAATGAATGAAAGGGAGAGAGAGGAAAAGAAAGGAAAAAAAAGAAAAAGAAATCCATCTGGGCTGCCACGTGAGCTATTAACGGGGAACCTGAAGTCTACCTACTAAAACTTTAAATCGGTCGATTTTTAAGAGTCCGGGAGCTCAATTGAGTGTCTTTTAAGTACGAGGGCCTAATTGTCATTTTCATTATAGTAATTTCGATAAAGTTAGTTACTATCTCCCTTCCATTTCGTGTGTCTTCTTTTAGTTTAGCATAACTTAAAAAGTGGTTGAATATAATTATAGTAATTAAAAGTTACTAAGTCAAAATTTTGACCATGAGTATTATATTGTTGTAGTTGTATTTTAGGAAACCTCTACTTTTTAATGATTGAGGGGGAGAATTAAACAATTTGTTCGGATTCAGGGACTTATTTGACCCCTAAAATTGCCACATCATATGCGCATTTGGTGCCTTACCGGGGTGATGTGGCGGTGATCGACCGGACTATTACCTTTAAAAAAGTGATCTTTTATCGAGTTTAAGAGTTAATTAAAGCTTTTTTAATTTAAATGGCAAGTTGGCCGGGTATTTTGGACGAGTAGAGAGACCTTTTGACCCTTTAGCCATAAAATCATAGACACAACCACAGTTTAAAAATATTTTTTGTTTTTATAATTGTAACTTGGAACTTATAAACGTACCTGCTTTTATAATGTGTGTTGTTGTTATGTGTATTTTTGTATGAAATGCATTTTGTACAAAAATAGAGCATGTCAAAGATAAAATGCACAGCTTAGACAAAAAGTTATACACTACGTATATAATTTGGGAATTCAAAAACTATCGTTCGTGAGATACTGAGATAGATGTATCTATGTGATATTGTATGAGATCTCTTTCATATGTGCATACAAACTCAACTTAATTTACTCTAATAACGGATTAAAAACTCATAATAAAATTTAGTTTTTCAAATTTCTAAAAAAGGTGGAGAATTGCCTTTTGGCCGGATTCCTTGCAACCTCTTTAATTACAATTTGAAACATATCTTTGTTGGAATATAAACTTTTTCTTTCTTTCATATCAAAGAGTATATTATCCATAACATTTTTATTTTCTCAACAAAACTTTAGGCCACATAACTGCACGTTGATTTTCAATCTAGGTTGTTTACCATTAATTATGTGACGAAGAGAGTAATATTTTCACTTTTTCTAATTTTTGAAAACTCTCACCCCATGCATTGGGCCCCATGCATTGCACCAATGATAAACTAGTCAACACTTGTGATAAGAACAATCAACTTCGCACATCACTATTTTTACTATCATACTACCTCCGTTCCCATTTTAACTTACAAATGTGTTTGGCACAAAGTTTAAGATAGTGGATATCGTGTGGTGGAGAGTTGTGCAGAGGAGAGAGAAATGTGTAAGAAATGTTGTGAACCACAAATTTTTTATAAAAAAGGGAAAGTGGAAGTTTTAATTGGAACGGAAGAAAAAGGAAAGTTGGAAGTTTATTTAGGAACGGAGGGAGTAATAGTAACGATATTAACGACACAAAGACAGACCCATTAAAAGAAAATCTTCACATGTGATACAACAATCAATCATACATACGTATTAGTCAACACTCGTGATAAGAACAACCAACTTCGCATATCACTATTATTACTATAATGATAGTAATGATATTAACAACACAAACACAGACCCATTAAAAGAAAATCTTCACATGTGACAAATGATAATAGATCACAAATTCTTGAAAACGTCTTTTGTTTTATTACCAAAATATAAGAAAATAAAAACATAGTCCATCCGAATTAAAAATATATACTTTTCACATATTTCATGATAATTTATGGATTTATTGTTCACTTTTCAAAATGTACTTTTTAAAGTGTATTGTAGTTGCTTTTGGGATGCATTGATTTTTGAAAATGGAAGTGAGACACTTTATTTTAATATGTTCAAAATGTAAGTTTCCGAAAACTCTACGGATATTTTCCACAAGCTTTTTTGAGAAAAAGTAGAAGTTTTCCGTTTCCCGTTTCATTGTGATTTTTGCGTTTCCATGCAACATAGCATTCTGTGCAGCTTATTCTGATACCCCGATAACCTCCTAAATCTGAGTATCGTAAGATCGACAGAATAGTCGTAACAAAGCAACTTAGGAGTTGAAGAAAGCGGCTAACTTTTTTACCATAGCCATGGAATTATCAGAGGTGGGAGACAACACATTGAATACGTGGTCCTCCCCTTTAGCTTCCACCAGCTCCGCCGCCCCGCACCACCCATTTTCACCCAACGCCTCCTTGTAGTGCCACCCCCTCTGCCTAAGCGGGTCCAGCTCTGCCACGTAAACCAGCACTTTCTTGCACCCCAGCTTCCTGAATTCAGGGTCCATCGTCGGGTTCAAAAGCGGGTCGTCCGGCCCAGTTGTTGTCGGGTTCACGAACAGCCAAAGGCTCTCAAGGTAAGAGCGCACCGGCGCCATGTCATCCCCTTCCTCGCCTATCGGATCCTTTCCCCAGAAAAACGGGCAGTTGAGGAAGAGCCCGTCAAGATTGATCCCATCCAGTCCTTCCAACCCGACCCGAATCGCCATTCTGTGCGCTATGGTTCCACCCGCGCTGTCGCCGCCGAAGAACACGCGCCCGAAGTCCGCGTGCTCCGTCAGCCACTCCTCACCGCCGCCGGCAGAGGAATGGGACGCAACCCACTTGAGAGCGAGCCACGAGTCGTCGAATGCCGCCGGAATCGGGTGCTCCGGGGCCAGTCTGTAATCGACAGAGACGATCACGGTATTGGCTTCGGCCGAGACTAAGCAGAGATGTTTCTGGTAAGTCGGGGAGAAAGCAGATTCGACAATGAAACCTCCGCCGTGGAAGTACACCAAAAGTGGAAGTTTCAGGCCCGGATTGGCAGTCTTGGGGAGGAAAATCCTGACGGAAACTTTGGGATCCGATGAAATCTCGAGGTCTTTGCATCTGACTCCGGTTTCGGCATCCGGTTCGGGAGGGACGACATCTTCGCCTTCCAACCTTTCAACTCGACCATCCTTGTACACTATCATTAAGGGGGAAAAGTCGTGAAGTATTTCTGTATCCAATGAATCTCCCATGTTTTGGCGCTGAATAATATCAGGGAAAGGATTAGATTCGTGTTTAAATAAGCAACCAGTTTGGTCAAGTGATTCCATCTAGTTGATACGAAATAATACAGGGAGATTTCACCCAAGCCTAATTTGGATGACATGTTGAATTGCAACTTTCAAATGAAAAATTGAGGCCCCCTAAAACAACAAAATTACAAATTTGAACAATAAAATACATGTAGACTAGATAGGTCAATGAAACATAAGTTTTATGATGTTTAAAATGTACAAATTAGAGAATCTAAAAATTATATACCTTTTGAAATCTTGAATAATACATAACATCTATAAAAATAAGGGAGATTTCCCAATATTACTTATAACTAATACTACTTATTACATTCTAAATTTTTGGAGGCCCCCTACATGAGTGGGCCCCAGTGCCAAGCACCTATTACACCTCTTATAAGACGGCCGTGATTGCGCCCATGGTTTGGATTTGCACCCGGTCATATTTGACTTTGCATCACATTTTTTAAATCATTCATGTATGCAACTCATTAACCCAAAAGTTGTAAAGGAGTGAGGTGCAAAGTCAAATAATTTTATAGTGAATTGAGGTGCATACATTAATGATTTTGAAAATATGTTACAAGGTCAAATATCACGTATTACTTACAAAATCCTTGAGTTTATTTTTTTTTTGAGTCAAAAATAATAATAGGAGTATATAAATTGAAAAAATGTATGTTAGAGAATATCACTTTATGTAGTTTCAAAATGTAACCATATTGTAAAAAAGTTGGCTCTCCCACTCTAGGGTTCCGTTTTCTCCGCTTTCGTCCTTGACGAAGTGCGACCGTGTGCTAGGGGTTTGTTCTCCGCTTTCATTCTTCACGAAATGCGAACGTTGTAGCCTGTAGGGGACCTCAATTAGGCTAGGAGGCTCAGTTCGGGGATGGGGTTCGTGGCTTTCCCGCTGGTGGTCTCAGTCGTGACGGATTGTAGGCGGAGCGCAGTTTGTTGTATTATTGGCGGCTTAGATTTTTTAGGACGAAGAAACACAAGGCAACATGCATGATAGAGATTTCTTCTGCACCTCGGACATGGATTTCAATAGCAAAACTGAAGGAGCAAATTGGCGGGAGAAAATTGACGATCGCAAAAAGGATAGGATTTCAAACGAATTTTCCAAGGTCAAAATTCTCTTCTCCCATACTAAAACAACTCGTCCGCCTCAAAACCACCTCCGTGCGAGGAAGAAATTTGGGGAAAGTTTCTATTTTCGTGTTATTTTTTCTTTAGTAGTACTCGTTTTTATTTCAGTTTGAGTAGGTATGGTTGGAGTATTTTGATTTTTGATGAACTTTTGATAGACAATGCTTCATTTTCGATGGTTTTAGGCTTATTCTTAACCGTTTTGTGTCTAGCGAGTCAAGTCTATTCCTATGGCTTACAATCGGATCTGTAATAGTTGTCTAGATATTGTCTTGCATGTTTGCTCTATTTTAATGAAAGTCGATTTAATGATAAAAAATGATTATTAGCTTATTTTATCCCAAACTATCAACAAATTCACAAATCTATCCTATTTCTTCACTTTTATAAAAAAAGACTCAAACTTATCTTTTTCAACAATTATAGTTTTCTTCTTAGTTTTTTTCAAAATTACAAATTTTATAAATGCCAATAATATGAAATATAAATATGATTTTGTTCTTAAGTTTTACTAATTCATCTATTGAAAGTGTAATTGTGAGAAAAATTCAAGTTTAAGTCTTTTTAAATAAAAGTAAAAGTATGAGAAAAATGTTGAATACAAGAAGGAATGGAAAATAACAAAGTACGTAAATCAACCTCTGAATTTGTTGCTTGAGCCAAGGTATGACCCAACAAATTCACTGATCTATGAATGAAGTGAAAAGACACTGAATCCAAGTGTCTTTCTGAAGACCGGCAACTAGCAATAATAGTGCCTCGAAAGTTAAGTCCCGAGTCGGAGAAATGATAAGATACACACATCTATACCTATATATCTGTATATCTATATCTATATATATATATATATATTAATTGAGTTAAGTGGGTTTCCCGCTCGTGCAAGGGTATTTCTGTAATAACCATAAAACCCATCTGCGAGTCTTGGAGCCTGACATGTCATCTTATGGTTCTTACAATTCCACCTCTTCTAATTCTACCTTTTCTCTACCTCTTCTCCTTTCTAGAGTATTATTTTCCGAAAATGAAAAATCTATGTGTCTTCTCTACACTCTACATGCAGTATTATTTTCAACAAATTAATAATATGTGCTGATAGAGTATATCTCTAGAGAGAAGTGAGAGTTAGAGAGAGAAGTGCAGTAATATGCTTCAATAGAATGAATTTCTAACCCCTATAACTACTCCCAAGGGGAGTATTTATAGAGAAAATTAGGGTTGGGCTCCCAAGCCTTGGGCTTGGGAGGCCCATTTACAACTGGACCGCTACTGGGCCGAATACAAAGCCACTAATGGGCTGTACAAATAAGTAAGTATAAAATCCGATTCTGTGAGACCTTCGTGGCCGACGGGGGCGTGGCCGACGAGGGCACCCGGGTTCCTTGGACTCAGGACCATAATCCGAGTTGGCCCCTTTTCGGCCGACGGGGGCGTCCTGGCCGACGAGGGTGCCACTCTGTGCCTTGTGCTTTCTGTTCTTCCGAGTATGTGGGTCCGGGGGCTCAGACCCATATACTCCATCAGGAGTCCCCCACTCTCTAAACTGAGACGTAGACGAAGTGAAGGAGAGTAGATTCCTATGCTTTGGTGCCCTTGGCCGTTATCTGTTCCTTGTTGTGGACGGGGGCCGTTGTTTACTTGATGTCATTGTTTTTGGACGATGAGTGTCCTTCTTTTAATGGTGGCCGTTGAAAGGCACGTTTTGCTTGGGCGTTGATGGTTGAAGTTTGTGTTCGGGCCGATGAGGCCACTGAAGTTATTCCTTGCTTTGAGGACGATGGCGTCCTTTCCTTTGGGTGGCCGATGAGGGTGTTTGCGCACTCCTTTTGGCCGTTGCCGGTTGGACTTCGTGTTCTTGGCCGAAGGGCACGTCATGATTAATTGTTGGCGGAGGACGATGAGTGTCCTTGCCTCTAGTGGCTTGTTGGCCGTCGCTAATGACGTTATGGGCCTTTGGCCGATGAAGCTCCGTTGTGCTGTATGGATGATGTGGCCATGCTTTGTGGTCACATTCATGTTCTTTGTAGTGTTTCCTTTTTGTTTTGCTGAGGCCGGTGTAGTCCCCCAGTCCCCCACTGCTTCAGGCCGAGGAGTGTGAGGGGTGAAGGAGTTGCTTGAGTCCCTGGCCGAAGCGGCCTCTCCGTAGTCTCCCTGAATCCAACTCTCATGGCGATTTTCTGGCCAAGGTAACCCTGTGGGAGAACCCTTGTGCGCAGATCGCTTGTAGAGAGTTATCATCAAAGATCATGACGAGGAGCCGATGGCTTGTTGGCTCTTGGGTCCTGTGATCTTGTGGCCGTTACGTTCCTGGCCGTTGCCGTCTCCTTATTGTTTGGCAGTTGTGATCTTGGCGAGCAAGTGGGACGTTGTGGGCGCTTGCTGACATTTTGTAAAGCCAGTGAGCGTGTGTAGGCCGTAGAGTCCGTCCTGCCAGTGGGCTGTTGATATTGAGTTTGGCCCGTTGGTGACGTGGTGGCCCCCCATTGGTGGCCGTTGGTGTGGCCATTGGGGGGTGCCACGTGTAGTGACCGTTGGGTGGGGGGTTCTATAAATACCCCTCCCCCTCCGATGAGAAAACGTATTTGCATTCTGAATTTGTCGAAGTGCTGGCCGATTTTCTAGAGAGATAAACTCCCAAGCCTGTTCTTCGTGTTCTTCGTTGTTCAAGGTTAGTGTTCATCGCGATCTTCCTCACTTTTCATACTTTGCTTCCTAGGTTGTTGATCTAGTGTTAGGCATTTGAACACCCTTAGATCTTAAGTTAGTCTCCTTAGGCCCGTAGTAGTAGTTATGAAGAGCTTGAACGAAGACTACTACTACCCCTACGACGACCAGCCCTCCACGAGGTCGCTTGACTACGAGGTGCTCGAGGAGTTCGAAGAGGAGATAGAGCGTTTAAGTCCCTACAAATCTGGAGAGCCGGTGGACGAGGAAGGCGAGGACGAGGAGTCCGCCTCCTCTTCAAAGGGTGAGGACGTAGGTGCGTCCCGAGTGGTGGACGGGGCGTCCACTTCTGCTGTCATTCCGTGCCCGAGGCCGGTGTCTGCCGTGAAGGGAGCAGCTAAGCCGAAGAGGGTGAGGAGGCCGAAGAATGGGCCGGGCCTCTCCTATCTGGACCTCACCAACATATTCCTGATCAAGCCGGAGAGCAGTGCGGCCGACTATCTTGTTGCCCAGATGTACGTGGGGCCGTTCGGGCGGGTTAGGGCACCCAGGCCGACGGACCATGTTCTACTTCCGCCACCGGGATACTTTGGAGTATACCCGATGAGTTTTGCTAAGGGGTTGAGGTTCCCCCTTCACCCTTTCATCATTGAGTATCTGGACATGGTGGGGCTTCCTCCGGCCTTGCTGACGCCGAACAGTTATTCCTTGATGGTGGGCTTTTTACTTCGGTGTGAGGAGCTGGGCTACAGGCCGACAACGGCCTTATTCATGAATTTGTACCAGATCGGCCGAGGAAGCCACAAGAACTGTGCGGCCTATGCTACTCTTCAACAGCTGCCGAAGAAGAGGAGCTTCACGGATTTGCCTACGTCCATTCATGGGTGGAAGAGCAAGTTCGTGTTTGTGTCCATTGGTGAGAGTGGCACCGAGTTCCCCTCTCTCGGCCATACAGGGAGGTTCAATCTCCATGACCCGCCGAAGAGCTCTATCTTGGACGCTCAGGTGGAGGCTTTCCTGGAAGGGGGGCCGAGGAGCGTGAAGGATTACGTTACTGAATACAAGATGACCGCCCTCGGCTTCTTCAGATACCACCTGTATGGAGATAAGGAGGATGACCTCCAACTCTGGCCGAGGATGACCACCACATTTGAAGAGGCCGACGGCCCGGATTTGGGCATCCCTGCTGAGGCCGATGGTAATTATTTCTTCGGCTTTCTGTTTTTATGTTTTTGTCCTTTGCCTTACTAATCCGTT